TGTTAAAATTTTAAAGATTTTAAATAGGAACATTATCCAACATTGCAGAAGTTTATTTGAAATTAGCACCACTTTTTGATTTCCAGGCTGGCACAGAGCAGGCTACTTGTTAGGTTTTTTCTTTCATTTGCCTCAGTTTTTCCAGAGGTCTGCATGGGCATCAATTTAAGAGCGCTTTGCAAGGAGAATTTTTACTTTTTGTATGGACAGTTTGGAATGCTTCCTTGTTCCCAAAAAATTGTTTCTGGTGTGAAGTTTTGTTTTTCATAAACTTTCTTTCCCTATAGGTGTATGCATGTTCTTAAGAAATCACAAAAGAAAGCAAACTTTTTTTGTAAATTTCTTATTAAAATTGTATTGATTGAGTAAATTTTTAAAATTTGCTACACGTTTTATGCGTAATGCCACATTCACAGAAAATGTTTTTTAGTGTTTCAATGGCCAGGCCACACTTAAACTACAGAGTCACCCCAATATCATGGAGTGTTAAATCAACAAAGGGCCACAACTCTAAAGTAGAAATCTTCTTGGCATGGTATCGAAGGTGCTTGAAGTAAGGTCCTTTCTGGTTGTACATACAGTGACAGTAATAGCACCAAATTTCTTGTCTGCATTAGACTTGTGTAGACTGCCAATTATCTACGTCCTGTTCTTGAAGTGTTATTGCCCCACTGACAGATCACCTTCAATGCATATTAAATCTGAAAAAAACAAAGATTATACAACACAAAAACCTTTTGTGAAGTAACCCAAAAAATTCAAAAACACGAAAGGCATTTAGCAGAAAACTTTGAAAAACATGTGATAACTTGTTTACTTTTTACGAAGTTTGCCATCTGATTGGTGTGTTGACTTGACCAGGGAAAGGTAGACCGATGGGCTAGTAGAATATTGGCAGTATGATGCAGTATGAGCATAAATGCCTGTTGCACCACAAAGTTCACACCTGCAATCAATTTACATACAATTCTAGAGCAAAAGTATGAATAAATCACCATAAAAATTCTAAAACCATTGTAGGACGAACTTGTGCTTCTGAAGGATTGGGCACTCTACATAACGATGCCCATTTGGTTGTCTTGAATGGAGATTGTGGCTCCTGTACATAACTTCTGCCTCTCCGTTCCTCTTACAAAACGGACAAAATAAGTCTGTCAAGATAAACAAATTCAAAAATTAGTAATACTTTAGACTATTATTTCATTCACATGTAAATTCCTGTTTGGGTCATTTCCTGACAACTTAAAGCCGTCAATCAGCCCATAACCTAAGAAATTTTGATTACTAGGAAATGCTTTGTGGTGCCTGACTAGGAGGCTGGTAGAGTAGATTAAAATACTAACCTCTTGGCACGATGGGCCCCATGGTGGCAACAATATGGATAGATTTTCTAAACAGACACACAAGAGTGGTTCTCAGATAAATTTCAATGTCCCACAACGTCACAGTTCAGACAGGAAGTCAGAAGTGCTATGCTGCAATCTCAGTGCCATCTAGTAATGCTTCCTAATGGCAATGGCCTGTGGACCTTGAATACAGACCTCGGCTAGTCTCAGCCGTGCCAACATCAAACAAATAGGCATTACAAAAAAAATTGATTTTGAACAGTTGCAAATAAAATAATGTAGACACTGACTTTCTCTTGGCTTTGAATATCATTTTTATCCTGCCGTCAGGAGTGTTTGTTTGTATGTGTGTGTGTAGTCATGAGAAAGGAGGGGTAGCACTAGTGATGTCCAATGGTCGGTCAACCCCCCACTCCACCTGTCTGCCGTCTCTCTCTCACGCGCTAGCCGGCCGCTAGCTCCGTCCCTCTCGCT